CGTATTAGGCAGGTGCTTACACCAACTAGACTAGTCAGCGGCTGACTAGTCTAATGGTGTAACTTTCTCTTACAGAGCAGACAGCCAGATGTGATCTCTTCTTCCTCTCGACACAGATCCCTTTGCCTTCCAAGATCTCTGCCAACCTCATTTATTACGGTTCGCGACGGCCCCCCACCTCCACCACACACACCCGTCCCTCTCTCTCTCTCCTACGCTCTTCTATAATCTTCAAACACCTCGTATTGAACCAGGGGCGGATGGACGTGATGCGTTTGTCTGGTCCTGCCCAACAGATCTTGTTCACTACACCGTCTGTAGTCTAGACAACGGACGTTGAACACTAAAGGTTAATAAAAAAGGAAAAGAAAGATTGTTTTTTGTCGTCGTCATGTTTGTTCTTTCTTGTGGTTATGGTTGTCTTCACAAACCGTTCCCGATTCTGTTCAGTATCTTCTAGCATCCGTGCCAGAGGCCTGTCTTGTACCTGGTGAGTACTTGGGCAAGAGAGGTGCACAGAGAGGCCGCCGGAGAAACGGCGCAACGGCCCAAAGCGGAAAATGCTCGTTTTACCCGTTTGCCGTTTACAAACACAAAAATTCAGACGCCTCCACATGTACGTACAGTCGAACCGCCATCTTATCTCCATAACTCCTCGGGATCACCGTGGTGATTGCGCCGCGTTGACATGTGCGAGCGTGCGAGCTGTTAGTGAATCATCTGCTCCGCCTTCTCCTTCTCTCTTTGCGCTACCAATACTCTACTCCAAGTGTCGTGGCTCTTGTTGCTGCTGCAGCGAAGAGCTCTCGTGGGCCCTGTTTGGGCAGTCTGTCGGTGTGGCGACACAAGAACAATGCGAGATGTGTCGAAAAGAGTCCTTTCCACAACCCTTGGAATCCTCGCCCTCTTCGTATCCTCACGGCAGCAGGCCTACTGCATGCGGTGTGATAGCACCACCGCCACAAGCGCAAGGGGGCCGCTACAACATCAGGAGGAGCAACGCCACCAACGCCTGACACCGACGCAGTTGGCGGTTAGAAATACGTATCCTGGCGGGCCAACTGCATGGCTTGTCGGGCCCGGCATCGCCCCTGCGAGAGAAGCAGCAGCAGCGGGAACGGTAGCAGCAACGGCACCGTTTCCTGTCGGCGCTCTGCGGATGATGGCGGAGAGCGGTTCTCCTCCCGCGAAGAAGGGGAAAGGGAAGGGGCCGTACAAAGTCATTGCTACAAACAAGTGAGTTTAGCTCCAGAGCTCAAGAGGTTGGGTTCAAGTACGTGGTAAGCGGCCGAAGGTGAGTATCTACCTATTGTAGATGCATGCAGAGTTGCGGTGCCTCTCACGTTGAAAACCCAAAGTCACGTCGCACAAAAAACAATACTTGTACTGTGTGCATATTGGACTTTAGTATCTTTTGAGAAATAATGAAATAATGGTTTGCAAGGCTCCATTCCTGCTCCAAGTGCAGAAACTCTTGAGCGCGAACCTCAACGCTCCACAGGAAAGCAAGGCGCAACTACGAGATACTGGAGAAGTTGGTGGCGGGGATAGAGCTTATGGGCTCGGAGGTCAAGTCTTGCCGCATGTCCAAGATCAACATGGATGAAGGCTTCGCACAAGTGGGTACAAAATAACGGCGACGGTAGCGACCCCGAGCAACCCAGACGTTACAGAGTCACCCACCCGTGATACACATGGCTACAGCAGTGCCGAAAAGGAAAGGTTGGGAAATATATCGTGTAGGGCTCTCCTTGGGCGTGTCGATCGCGTCTCTCTCACCCTCTTGGTTGACATTTGTGCGGAGCAATCGATCTTAAAGAAAACATCACACACCCGTGCGTTCTCGCCTGCACGTTTACCTTTCTTGGTCAAGTTTCATCCTGCTTGATTCTGTCATTGGATCGTGTTCAACACGCCATTCGACACGTGCGCCTACACGCCCATTAGTCTCTCCTTTGAGAGGCACCCGTGGGCCGGAACGCTACGTTTGTTGCCGCTCAGGCTGGTCATCTTGAACGGCCAGCCAGCTAACGCGGGTGGTGCTAGTTGTCGCAGCCAATAAGCACACACTGCTGTTGACCCCTTTGAGACTACTCGAGTGAAGCTGCCCATGTGGCTCCACATGCATCCCCCCCAGAACCTATGTTGGCTACTCGAGTGAAGCTGTAGGTCCACATGCATGCACCCCACTTACAGGCCTGAAAGGCATATTGTAGCAATGAGTATGTTCCGCGCGGACGCTTTGTCGCAAGCAGCAGCGTGTGGATGTCTTCCACCAAACTTGATGGAAATGACACCGGCATGTACACCCATCCCCTCTTTGATCGCCGATTGCTGCTCCCTGACCGTCCAACTTGGCTTCACTGAAGCACACATGTCCCCTCCTTTAATCTGAAGACTAAATCCATGCCTATGCTGTTCCCTTCCCTGTTGTTTCCGTGTGGAACTTGTCTACCTTCCAAGGCTAAGAAGGGGCAGTGCTTCTTACATGGAATTCACATCGCTGAGTGCGGCGTGTCTAACCGCTTCTACCAGCACGAGCCCCGGAGACCGAGACGCCTCCTCCTGCACAAGGCGAGATGAACACAGCAGTCAGGAGAATCCCGAGAAAAAATCACATCATCTCGAGATTTATCAGGAGAAAATCGCTGTATCAATAGAGTGGTCTTTTTTATCGACTTAGTCGGCCTTATCTCAAGAATATTATGACCCTCAAGAATTGTTCAAGATAATTCTCAAATCGCTATCTGCTCCCTATGAAGCACAACACTGTCCATGGGGTTGCCTCTGCTGCCCTTCGTCATGTGTTGAGGTTTTCTTCACTCCTGATTGGTCAGTTGGCTGTCGGTGTAATTACGTTACTTTCTTTACTAGATTCTCGTCTTGCACCCAACCTCCAACGTTGAGATGACCTCGAGCTTGTCTTTGACTACGGAGCGCTCGAGGGTTAAAGGTGGCCTTGCTTCCACAGGACCGTCAGCGCTTGGCCCTTCACTCCCGGTCCTTTTTTTCCGTTCGCCGTCACGATGCTTGTATTTTGGCTTTCGATCTATCGGAATCTCAGCGTGAGATTAAGAAGCTCGAAGACAAGGTGGCGCAGAAGGGGATGACCGTCGTTCCTCTCAAGATCTTCTTCGACGATAACAACAGGTGATGCAGAAAAACAAAGGTTGAAGTTGCCTGGGTGTCTTGTGTGTACCTTTCTTTTATCTAGCGTCGACCGCGCTAACCGGCTGACCAATAAAAATATGTCAAGTCTTGAGGCGGGGCAATGAACGCAAACGAATACGCGTTCTCGTCCGCAGGCTCCCCAGGCTGGAGAGTCGCTACACGAGGTTGCTGGATTGTGTCTGTTTATGCATCATCCCATTTATCCTGAACGTCGATATTTACACTGTTTGGGCGCACCAACCTGGGTGCCACAGGAAGGAAAACACGGGAATGCAAACACGGCAAGTGTCTGCCCAACGCAGGAATGTTTTTTTTGGGCTTGTGTTTGCTGCCTCTGCACCCCACTTTCGCCGTTCATCTCCTCCGCTGAACCCCCTTCGTTTTGGTTGGTTTTCTTGGAAGCATGGTGCGGGACGTTCGTAGTTTCTGGAACAACAACACCGTGGTCACGTCTGATCGGAACAACTGGTGGTCAATAATATCGGAAACCGTGTGTAGTCGTCAACGATGGATATTGTAGTTCTATACTGGTGCGGCGTAAGGAGTATCTGTTCAACGATGAAAAAACTCAACAACGCGTAGTAGAGTATCTCTGTTCTAAACCCAACCCTACCCACCACTCGCCTTACTGAATATTGACCCCTATCGTTAGGTTGAAGGTGGAGATAGGGCTAGCCCTAGGCAAGAACGTTCGGGATAAGAGAGAAGACATCAAGGCCCGAGAAGCCAAGCGGGACATACAGCGAATATCCAAGAACGCCTATTAGGAGATTCCGGATTACAGCGAGCGCACACATGGGGCGTTGAGCGAATAGTGGCGCTGGAAGTATGTGTGGCTTTTGTACGCTGTCTTGTACTTCATTCAGGAGTGATGGCGGGGTTGCGGGGGACAAAGTGTGAATAGGCACCCGGTTGACTGGAAAATATTAGGTGGGTCGTGTCGAACGTGGCGTAGAAGGGCGCACCGTCGCGTGGGACATTGGCTTTCGAGGTCGAACGTTGGTTGGTTTGGTGTGGACTTCGCGCAAACACAAAAATCATCCGACGGTATCGACCTTTGTATGCATTGAGTTGGCAATGTACGAACAGCATGCGGGCGGTAGATGGAAGCACGCTGTTGTTCATTCTGCGGCGGTCTTTAGCTTCTTGTAGAGTTCGCCGAGTGCATCGGCGACGAGAAAGTTCTTCTTCAGCAGCAGCCACACAGTGCATAAAGCTGACGAGGGAGAAGAGCGAGGCACTCGGAATAGTTGTTGCGCTCGAATCGGTTCCACTTCTTGTACGGCACCGCCTTGATCGTAACTTGTTGCCTTCCTCCCCATGGTAAACGTCCCCATGGTAAA